TGAAATCGTTTATTTTAAGCAGAGAGTTGTCAGATGCAATCTTATCTCTTGTTTTTCAACTTCATGGCATATAAAAACAAGAAAAGAATTAATAGTCTATTATGTGTGTTTTGGCTTCCTTATGAGCTGCCATTCAGTAAATACTCTCATATACAATAAGACCTCTTTCTGTGCTGTAATATCAATGCAAAGGAACATTTCAATAATTGAAAAATTCATTTGCTCCCATCTGAGGGCCATCTCTATTATCAGCATGATAGAGTTAGAAATCAAATTATATTATCTATCTATCTGTCTATCTATCTATCTATCTATCTATCTATCTATCTATCTATCATCTATCTATCTTTGTCTATATCTAGATATATCTCAAGATATTTTGAGATGATAGGACTATGTAAACAATGAGAATTTAGATTGTTGTCAAATAAAAATATTTTTTTCCCCCACTGATTTTTCTTAACAAAGGTGACATTATTTTGTCCTGTCACCTTGTAAGGAGTAATAAGATATATAGTATTATTTTAGAAGTTGATTGAAATGTTGGCAAAAAAAAAAAAAAGGCACAAAAAGGAGAATTAAATAATGAATTGCAATTAAACCTGACTCTCAAGAAAGAACAATTTTGTTTCTTTGCAAGTATCTTCACCAATTGATTGTAATTCACTGTTACAGACAATTTTACAGACAATTCTTCTTACATTTTTTGGATGAATAACACTAGAAAAACTATGTATAATCTTTCAACTATGTCAATGTATGTGCAAACTTTTTGACTGTGAAATCAAATTCATCAATATTTAGGAAGCTCAGAACAAAATGAAGGCATTCATAGTGAGTTGCATTAATCAGTCTACTGTGTGCTTAGCATTGTTTAGCTGAGCTAATCATGGAAGATTAACCTTTAAAAATTTATATTACAAAGTATGATGATCACATTCTTGGCTCCTAATGCATTTAGCTCTATAAACAACATTTGACATTTACCAATAGTATTATCATGGACAAATGGTTCTATACCCTGCAAATGACAAAGGTTTGAATTATTTTCTTTCTTTCTCCTTTATTTATTTTTTTTTTAAGGAAGCAGTTTAAGATTGACAGCAGTGCCAGTTTCGGTTTTTGGGGGGAAGAGGAGGGGGCTTTTGTTTGTTTTTTTTTAATGATAACTCAAATGATGATATCACTTAAGATCATTATAAGTAAAGATCATTAGAAATTAAAGATCATTAGATGTTAAGTGTTTAACACTGAAAAATATCAGGCAAGCATCCAGATTTTTGCACTGGTTACTGTTTCCTCATTTTATTTCAATGAAACAAAAGTACTTTAAAGAATGAATGTGAAAATAACTGATTCTAGGGTATATTCTGGTCTTGAATCACAGTAGCACTGTGATCGGAAGTATGAACTTCCAAACAGTCTAATCGGTTTTGCCATTGTTTTTCATGTTTATACTTACTTCAGATCTTTGCCTTCAGGTAGTGCTGTAATGTAAATATTCAATATTGAGAATGAAAAAGAAACAATTACTTCTGATAGATTCAGTGTTTACCATTCAAGTTTTTAGTACCTTTCTTAATAGAAGCTCTGAGGAACTGTCAACCTTAAATTAATCTGCCAAGCTTTTTTAAATCCATGGTCGGAGCCCTCCTCATGCTTCACAAATTTTTTTGCAAAGTCTACCAAATACAATTAAGAAAGAGATGTTCAAACATGTTATGCAGCAACTTCTATGCACGAAGAGCTTAAAAGAATATTGGTAACCCATTGAAAAGGAGAATTTTTGAGACAGGCTCTGTTGCAGTACAAATCCCTGGTAGTAATACCAAAATGCCATGGATATTTTTACATATAATACAAAGGCTGTCATTGACACCTCATGGGGCTGGAACATGTTTCTTTTAGCCTGATGATACATCAGATCTCAAAGTGTGTGACTGTAGATGGCATGTACCTTGAAATACAAAAGTGTTTCATACTCACCCGTGCTTATTCTTCTATTAAAAACAAAACTTGTTGGAACGACCTGAAGAAAGTCACCATATGCAATGAGGCTTTGGGGACACAAATTGAGAAGCATGAGTCATGTAAAAGACCACCTCAAGACTGAACTCTTTTTGTAAAAAGGTTAAAGACATTGAGTTGAGAGATGTTATGACTGCTATATGCAAAATGCTCCTCCAGATACCCTACCCAATAGGGAGCTTTTCAGGACTTAATTAAGCCACTTTTTTTTTTTTTCATGTATTTGTGTTAAATCCAAACTAGAACTGCACCTGGCAGGAAATGGTAGTAGTTTCACTCCTATGCCAAATATTACTCCTAACAGAATTCTTAGAAACAAGGATGTCTACTGTAGCTTAACTTCCATTTTGAGAAATTCTAAGAGCTCCAGGCGTATTCTCAATTTGAAAAATAGCTGTTAAGACACAGTTTAAAATTTAGAAATGTAATACTTGCTCCTGTTAGGAGATGTTGCTGCTGCATCCACACAGATTGGACGAAACTAAAGCCATGGTCTAGATCTGCAACCAGAAGGGCTGGATCAGCCTTATCTGAAGAATTTGGGTGTGTTTTTTTGAGAAGGGAAGGAGGACAATTTCTGTATCCTCTTAGCATCTCATGGAAAATGTAAAGGCTTTTTAAAAGTCCTACAGATTTCTTTTGTCCTTTNTTTTTTTTTTTGCTGACATAGTTGTAACAATAGCAGATCACAATATGGGAATGTCTTCTGGCTTGCATCACACTAATCCAAGTGGTCTAGAATTCTGCTTTTAATTTCAGCTTGTCATTTAATCTGAATTCCTAGTACATGGTGATCTATATCCAAGCAGCTAACAGCATAAAGCAGAACAGAGTATCAGTTTAACACAGTAACAACTTTAGCAATGTGAAGCTAAACTGTGCTGTCAAATTCCATATGTCATGATGGGTAGACTCTATGTGTATACATGGAATACTCATACAAGATATATGGATACAGTAAACAAATGAAATACATGACATTAAGCATTTGGTTCCAGTTAAGACCATTGAAACTGAAGCTTCCAAGCTCCAAGAAGGAGATTCTCACATCATCCAGTCACAGACATCAATTTCAGAGAAAATGGAGATTTTTCTCCAGAACTCTCAAAGTTTGGTTCCACAGGTATGTTCAGAAAGCAAGACTTCAAAAAAGCTCTGACCCTTGACTTTTTTTTCCTCTTTGTGCCATCTCTGATCCACAATATTGGCTTTGATTCAGAATATTTTAATGGGGACAATTTTTAATTTGTCAGTAGGCTGATAAACTGTTATAACTACGGAGAAAAACTTTCTCAATATACAACATTCCAAGTGGGTCATAAATTTTATGTTGAAATTAAAGAAATTTTGACCTTTTTCACCTGAAAGCTACTCCTGATTTGTTTGTATTATGCCAAACTTCTGCTCTCTTTGCTACTACTAAGACTTGTCCAAAACCAATGAAAGACTGACTATTCCCAGTCAAGCTTATACTACAGAATTTATGGGGAATTAGAGCTGCACAAATCCTCTTCTGAGGCATTGGCTTAACAAAATGTTTATTCTATGCCTTTATTTGTTCTTTATCCTTTGAAAGTAATGGGGGAAGACATCAGAATTACGAGCATTTTGAAATAAAATGTTAGGCCTGTAGCACATAGACTGGCGAGATAATAAACATACTTTTAAAATTTCTTCCGCAGTACTTAAGAAGTGAGGAGAAATCACACAGCTGACCACACTGCAGCTACTTAATGTTGCTATAAATAGATCATAATAAGCATGTGGTGTATGTGATTGTCTGTGATGACAAATGAAAGAGTGTGCATTTTCAGCATCAGTGGAAAGACGGGAAAAAGAAAAAACCTTCCTGATTGCAGCTGCAAATGGCAGCAATTTTTGCTTCCTTCATTAATGAATGTAATTCATGTAACACATATTACATCATTCAACAGCAAAATTCTCACATTCAGATCACAGACAAAAAGTATTTTAATTAAGAATATCAATGAATAATGACAATCCACTTTCAGAAAAAGCAAAGAAAGACACTTCTTTGGCCATGTAGAAGGAGCTGTGATGCAAATATATTTTATCAGTGTAATAAATTCACTTCCCTAAAATTCTTTACCAAAAGAACATCCTCCAAGACATGTTCTGGTTTATTTGTCTGTTTTCTGTTTCTAACCTTCTTTTACGTGCAGTATTTGACTGCATACTTGCATTTTACAGTCTCTAGTGATTGAATCACTTCATCTTCTATAAACATCACAAGTTCAAAGAGCTTTCAGCATCTGAACTCCAACACAACATACAAACTAAAATAATTCATTGTCTAGAGACCATAACAAATTTTAATGTGCATTTACAGAGTAAACAGAGGGCTGAAGGGGGTCAAACCAGTCAAAGTGAAGATATGCATTACAAAATCCACACATTACTGAATTACAAACTAAAAAGTGATGTTTTGTCAAAAAAGGAAATAAAGATGGTTCTTGGTGGCACGACATATAGATAATATTAAAAACTGACTTGCATGAGGACCAAAGTATGTCTACTCTGAAGTTATATCACACAGACTGTAAGCAATTTACAGAATTTAAGTTAGTTTTGCATATACAGGAGTTGCAAAATTAGAGAAAACACACTGAAATATAGAACGCACACACAAAAAAAAGGATGTATATATATATAAACCTCCACATAGTCATCAGGGGTTGGCCTAAGTTGGCACTTGCCACCACAGAACAAGAAACAAACAGAAAGACAGGGAAAAACCCCAAAGGGAGAAAAGAATAATTTATTGAAAAGTAAAAAGAAAAAAATCTCAAAAGAAAAATATCCTCATATGTTTTTCAGAAACAACATCCCCTAGTCTGCTGAGCTGTGTTGTAGAATATATTTTCTCCTCCCTATTCCTCATGCAAAAAAAATAAAAAAAAAAAAAATAAAAAAAAAAAGCTTTTTAATAAAATTTGTGTGTATTGTTTTTATGTTAAATCACTATGGTTTGTTTCATTATTTGCCCTCTTTTTGCTTCCAGGCTGGAACGGTTCCTTCAGCGTAGGAAACCAAATGTCATCCATGGTTAATTCTGTAATACTGAGGACTCGCAGGCCAACCCCTGAGAAGTCAAGGATGAGGCTTCTCCTTGCCGAAAGAAAAGGAAACTAGGTCTTGCTGTTACAAAACGTTTGATTACATCACACCAGTTCTCTTCAAATAAAATATCAGTGATACGCCAAAGAAAATAAGATATATCAAGAAAACGTGGTATCCTCTTCTTTTTTATATTTATTTTATTTTATTTTATTTATTTAGTAATTTTGTTTGTACTTCCTGAAGAAGGTGCTCCTTGTGTAGAGATTTAGAGTACATTGGGTGCAGAGTGGTGGTTGGAGGTTAGGGTCAACTTTGCTGTCCGCTCCGTGGATTTTACAGGCGATTTGCTCTTTGCTTTAAGAAGAGAAAGTGATATTGGAAAAAGTCAGCACTTTTAGATTAAAGCAAAGCACCCTTCACAAAGCCACAAACAAGAAGCAGGACAGAAAGTCCATGGCTTGTAGCTATCCTCGCACCTGCGGAAGAAGTTATAAGATATTCGCTCATCTTGCAGATTTCCAATGCTCCTTATAAGGCTGTTTTAAACATATACATTTATTTATTTAATTAGCTCGCCAGGTTGGCTCTGGTGCCCATGAATGTCTTGGCATGCACTGCAAATAACAACACATACAAAGTATTTCAGTCCCAGGGAGGTTTTTTTGTTTTGATTTGCTTTTCTTTTTTCTCGTCTGTCTTTTTAAACAATATTACCCAATGAAACCATAAATAAAGAAGAACAAAGCCAAACACCTTTCACCTCAGAGTGTTCTTTACAAAATAATTTCCAGCATCACATCATTGACTGCTAACAAAAAAGTCATCTAGTGGCTAAAGAGTGTTTTCTTGTAAACCAAAGGAGATACAGGCAAATGGCTGTGTTATTTACAAGAGGGAAACAGACTGCCAAAAGGTTTGGACTTATTTTTGAGAAATCATCCCAGATTTTGTTTTCTTTTTTTAAAAGCTATGAAAACAATGGTCCATATAATTATTTCTAAACCCATGACTTTATATTTAATATGCTAGCAGAATAAAACCATTTGGGGCTAGACTGATTAAACTGGAATGTTCACACACCAAGGGCATAAGTATTTAATTGTTCTACATGCCAAGTCTCAATGCTTGATAACTCCCCATATCATTTAGAATTACATTCAGAATTTGGAACTAATTACTTGAGGTCAAAACTATAAATGTGATTTGGTAGCACTGTAAGTAGAAGTTCAGGTTATAACAGGTTGATGCATGATTAATAGATTTTATATCTGTATCATATATTTGAGAAGGATAAATATTATTGATGGTTAGAGGCATCAGTCCTATAACAGGGTTACAATGGTGTTATAAACAATCCATTATAATGATAGACTCGTAATAAATTGGTTTTTTGTTTGTTTTTAAATCTATTAATCATGTATAAGATATTTTTGTAGAGAACTTAATATTAAACTAAATTATGGATTTCATTGTAGCCCCCAAAAGCACATTTATCTTATCATAAGGAATATACACAATGAAAACAAAAATAAATCCAGGCAAGTCCTTTTTTTTTTTTTAAAGTTTTCAGATGTAACACCATTCTCTGTATCTGCTAACTATAAGTGAAGCAAGAAGTATTTCTGTTGCTGTCTTTAGTAATTTTTTCCTTCTTGAAACAAGGATTACACTAAATCACAGATTTTAGATGAACACTGCTTGCTTTGGTAAATACATGGTGTGAGATGTGACATATGTAGTGGTTGCCATAAAACACTCAGTCCTCTGTCACATAGACAAGACATTCTAAGCAATTGTGATGTTTCAATTAGACGTGTGTGCTAAATAAATATTAACTTTTAAATGAAAACTTGCCTCAGAAACATTACTAACGTTTTTCCAAGAGAAGTCCAAGGGAACTCTGAGCTTAGTTTCTACCAAAAGAAGACACGAGTGGGAAGCCTACTGTTCTCTTGCCCACCTGGTAACATTACTGGTATGACATTGCCATGGTTTGCTGTGCTTCTCAGGACACTTCTGTATTACGAACTAACAAATGCACAGGAAAATTTGCTGCAACTTTTTCCTGTGTGTTCTTCTCACACAGATAGTATTTATGATCTTGAACCCAAGAGTTAAATTTCTGGTTTTGGTTTTACTGCAGCATGACTTTGTTCTCTCTCTGCAAAAGCTGACATTTGCCAGATTTTTATGAAGGCTTTTCTTTCCCTAACAAGGTTAGAAAATCTTAGTTAGAATCTTTGTTAGTGTTAGATCATTTCCTGATGAATTGAATTATTTTTGTTTTGTTCCATTTAATATTTTTTTTTTCTTTTTGATTGAACCAAGGAAATATGTCTCAATACAACTCTAAAGAGGTCTTTGGAGATACACTTCATCTGCACAAAATACATTGAGAATTTTGAAGCTGAAATGTGCAGAGAGAAAAAGTATGATATAAAATAAGTTTTACTCAAAAAATGTCACAGTGGGAAAAGCAGTACCATATTTGCAGACCAAATATTCTCTGATTTTTGTTTTCATTTTGCTTTTTTTTTTTTTTCCAATAAGGCAACCTGGAGATCCTCAAGTTAGGGGATAATATATAATGCATACATATAACATTTTTATTTATAATGTTCAGTTTCTGCATAAATCATGACTTCCCTGCAATTCATTTCACATGTTCTACATCCATGTTCTTCTCTCAAGAGCAAGTTTGTTTATCTTGCAGGGGATTTAGACTAGAGTACATGCAGTAAGTGCAAACTAAAGTAATTCTGAACATATTGGAAAAAAAATAGGGGAAATAACAACTAAAACAATTTCAGTTTCTATGTGAAGAAAGGGGCAATTAGGATTGTTGGAAAAAACTGTAAGAGACAGTGTCCTCTGCAAGGTTTTTGGAACTGGTTATTAGATCTTAATCTGATTTAATTGTTTCCAAAATGCCATTTAATCCAAACAGAGAAATTTTCAGTCATATATCAGCCCACATAAAATTGACTTGCAATATACAGTGATATATATGGATATTAGGTGCTCTCATCTTTTCAGTTATACTTTATGAAATAAAATTAATGTTTTAGTATACTCAGGTTCCATTTTTATTTTCCAGAGAATAAAGAATTGTATTTTTTCTTTCATGAACCTAAATATGTGTTTAGATTTTGCAAGAGTGAAAGCTGCAAAGGTAGAATAAGAACACAGCAAAACAGAAAGCAGCTTTTTCATATTTTTTTCTTTTTTTTTTTTGTTCTGTCATCTTTGCTCATATTTTATTATTTTGCATTTCATCTTGAAAAAAAATTGCAAAAAGTATCCATAAATTTCCATTTTGACATAGAATCTGGAAGTCATAGGGTGCTTAAATCAGAATCTCAATTCCACTTTATGCAGTTTTGGTGTATTTTCAGTCTACTGTTCTGACTAGGACTTGAATAGTATCACCTGAACTGTGAGCATGTTAATGCAAGTTATTTATCTGGCTGTGGATTTCCTAAACTTATTAATCATTGTCCTACCATTTCAAGCATTATTTTCTAATTAACATAATGAGAACTAAAATAAATTTTATTTCAGGTCAACAACACTGGGTAAAGCTGGACTGCAATTATGTAATCCTCAAAGACAGTCACTCAGAAGAACTGTCATGTAATGTATGTGTGTATTATTTCTACGTTATTAGTTAAACTCCACTTGATGTGTGGGTCTGACACTCTTACCACTCTCACAGTTTTGCCTGTCTGCCACAGGCATCCAGTTAAATTCTTCTTGTGAATATGTAAATCCCCATTAGTTGTCTTTTATTTCCTGCTCCTAACATAGCTAAAAGAGCAAATGTCCCTGGAATACTTAGCTTTCTACTGTAAACAAATGCTACATTGCCAAAGGCATGTGATAAGTTTTCATGCAACATCATGAAAGATTAGTTCATGACATTAAAGTGCTTGAAACTGCATTTTATTCAAATTTATGATTTATGTAAATGTTAGGAGCACAAAGAAAAAAAATAGTGATAAATAATTGTGATCCTAGTGTTTAAAATAAAAAAGAAATGTCACAAATGCTTGGATTTCAAGGCTCATAGTGTAGGAACCCCACAGCTAAACATCAATTTTGTGCTGTTAATGAAATTAATTTTAGAGCATCTAAGTATAAAATAAAGCTACCAGAAATTATAAATTCTTGGCAAAATGCAACTGGTCAAAAAGGTAATAATTCATTCCATACCTGAATGCAGTCAGGCATGATCCTTTGCCTTCACTAAGATATTGATCAGACAAAATTTGTGTCTGATACATGGGATTTGGGGACACAAGCAGGGATGGTTGATTAATTTTGCCCATTTATTTTTCACAACTGGATGAAACACTGAATTGTGAACAAAGCAGCTGCCTCAGGAACTAAAATTTTAGCATCTTCTATTCTTAAGAGTAAACCACCTCTTCTGTTCTTAAGAGTAAACCACCCTGGGTCTCAAACAGTTTGCATCTGCCAGAATTGAGGTTTAGCAAGTTTGGTATTCCTTGTGCTAAAGTTTAGGGTTTCTCTGGCATGTAAGAGCATTCAGCATTCTGAGCCTCAATACCTGTCAGAGCCTCTGAAAATTGTCTCCTTACAGTTGTGTGTACAATGCACAGTGCATTCTCATACAAATAACAGAAGGAATTTGAAAATTCAACACCATTTCTTTAGTATTTTACTAAACATGTAAGTTTAGTTTGGGTATCCTTGAGCTTCCTTTAAGTAGTAACTCACTGATCACAGGAAAGAGTAATGCCTCAATGGAGTCCTGGCTTTGTGCTGACCAGAACAGGAGAACTACTGCCAGTCACACAAAAGTTCATCCCAGATTCTCTGTACTTACTACAATAGGCCAAAATATCGATACATATATTTCAGAGACATATATCTGGGCTGTGCTGGGTATGATGTTTCCATCTTTAAAGGCCTGATTTTGCAACATTTAGCTTTGCTTCATACTGTTAGATTTTAAATACTCTTCCTGTCAGCCCCAGTTGAAACCAAACAAAATCATAATTTTGCATTATTTCCATGTAAAGTAAGTAAAAGTTCATGTGATATCTGCCTTAATTTTACTGGGGACATAAATTAACTATAAGATTACTTGAAGGATATTTGCAGTTTTATTTCCATCATTTTAGGTAAAACCAAGTACAGCTGATTTTATTTGAAGTTTTATTTGAATATGTCTCACACAGGTTTTCAATAAATAGATTCTTCCCCTCTGGTCTACAAATTGCTATCATTCTTATTTCTCTGAATTGCATAAATCACAATTGTGTGTATATATCTTCTGTAGTGATGGGATAAATATACCCACACACAGGAAGAAATTTTCTTATCCACAAGTGTAAAGTCCCCATTTCCCTCTTTGGGGGAATGACATCTCAACTGTGCTTCAGGGCTCAGTCACCTATGTTTGATTTTGGGAACCTGAACGACTGAATGAAGATTAGTAGTAAGTGTCATT